ATTGCAGTGAGAGAGAGCAGACTCTTCTCCTTATCCCGAAATTAACTGTCACTCATCTCACACCTGTCCGAGACTGACATAATGCTAACTGGCAGCTTGCTAATGACTCAAATGGCTGCCGTGCTTTTGAACTCCACGGTGGATTTCTCGCTCGTTGCGACTTGCACCATTCCTCCCAGGTACCAGGAGTATTCATAACATCCTATGTTAAAATACAAGGAGGAATACTTTGGGCTCTACAGTATGCACAGGTCTATAGCCCACGTCTCTTGACAACATGTTAGCTGAATAAAGCTTAGTCTGTTTGTCTTGCCTAATGGCTATTTTAGCAATCAGAGTGGGAAAGAGTACTTTAGTTCTGAGCACTGGTTAATGGGATCAGTGGAATGCTCTTTATGTTTCACATGGAAGAAGGAATAGAGTAACATGCTGACCTCAGACAAAAAGCATTTAATTCATTTATTACTTGTCACTATTTGAAGACTATGTGGCTGTAAATGGTCCTGCTGTATGGAGGCATGTGTAAAGCTGGTCAGGAACAGCACCCTTGTAACAGAACCATTAGCTGTGGAATACCTACTGCATAGCCAAAATGTAACCCCGCTGTGACAAACAGAGCAATATATGCATAAATAGTATATCTGTTATGTGTGTGTCACACCAGTCCTTAAGAAAATACCACTCCTGACTCCACTGTAGATAAATAATTTTATTCTATCCCAGTGACAGATGTTCTCAAGGAGATACTAAGGATTTCTTTGCATATTATGAAGAAAAGTAAGTCAAGAAAAATAAATTTTATGTCGTTTTATGATCACGATAAACATATTTCCAGAAAAAGTAAGAGTTGGGCTATGATACAGAATGAGTAGGAAGAAATGCAAGTGAAATTTATCAAATACCTACGTAAATTAGAATTAATGCACTGAACAGATTCAGTTTAACAAGAGTGGGCTGATTTGAGAAACTGATTATGATCTGAATATTAATTTTTGAGGACAGAGAAATAATCTAGAAGCATTCAGAGACTGTGTTTTTGTACACATCATAACATTTTAACTCATAACTAAATTATTACAAGACGAGGTTCCCATACACTGGCTGCACTCAGGTGTCTGTCTAGGTGCACAACTTTTTTTTTTTTAAACTGCAGGATAACCTATCTGAAATACATTTGTATTTACTGTGGCATTAAGGGAAATCTGCTTTGAGCTTCCTGTATCTAGATCCATGCCATTTCATATTTTTAGACCAAAGACTTTCTTCGAAGAGGATAACAGTCAATGGTAAGATCTTCATTAACTTATCAGGGTAATACCTGTTTTTAAGTAATTCACTTAAGTAAGGCATACTGAAAACATTCCACTATCAATTTCAAGAATAGGTTGTCAACCCTCAATGATAAGAATGGGAAATTGTAAGAAAAGAAGCCTGAAAATCTTTACTCATAATACAGGAAGTCTTTGAATATTAAACAATGAAATGGCTACACTTGAGTCATCTTAATGGTATCACATCCTGATGTCTTCCATTAGAACCATTACAAATTTTAGGAGCTGACAGTTTGAAAATCTTACTGGGGGGAAGAAGTGCAGCTGAGACAGATGAAACACTCAAAGACTTCAGAGTATAGTCACGAGAAAAATAAAAGCTCTCTGTCTTGTGAGGGTTGTAAAACATTTTTGTTGTACGCTGTTCTTCCAAGAAGCATGTACAAATTTTTTGAGAATGAATACAAAGAATGATTCATATCGAGCTTAGTGAACAGCAATATGATTGCAGAAGAGGCAAGAGCTAAAGGACATTTGTACAGGCAACACAAAGCCCAGAGCAGGACAAAGGAGTCTGAATAATCACAGTCTGCAAGGAAGGTGAAGACTGTGCAGGACAGGCACTCATGACTGCAAGCACCTGGTTCTAGATTTCAGTAAGAAATCCTGGATTCCATAAAATCAGTGACAAAGCCTACCTGGATTCCCAAGACTTCCCTGTCTTGCTCATTTGCTTGCTTTACTGGGCATCCATTTGTGTACTGGGCCATGCTCATGTGGTTGCTGCTAAATGTTTTCTCCTAATCCTTTTGCCTCTTCATCGAAGGAGTAGAAACCCATATATTCATGTTTTCCAATCCAAAGTGCCTTTTTTATGAGTGTTTAAACAGTACGCTTACCTGATGAGCCACTTCCACAGATCTTCCTGAGCATAGACCTACCTTAGAGAAATGGCCAAACTCCAGCTGGATTGCTTGAGGTGACGATTATCTAGATGTCTAGTTAATGTAATTTCGATATTTTATATATATATATATGCTATTAACATTCATTCTGAAGAAAAATGCAAGACAATACGTTTCAGTTGCAGTATTTTATTTTCTATATTTGTGTGTGTATATACAGAACAAATGTATTTCACAGTTTGTTTCCAACTTTTCTGCTCAATTATTCTGTATAAATATTAATATACTTTGAAATACATGACTAGGGAAATTATACTTAGGTGTCAATACCAGGAAAGGACACCAGTGAGGTAACAGTTCATAAGAAAGGGTTAAAAACATCTGTACATATATAATTTTATAGACCATTTTCTAAAATGTTGAAAACAGTGATAAATCCACCCTTCGGCAGAGTACGGTTAAGCCTCCAGTGACCACCCTAGCTGTTGAAATGTTTGTCCAGTAAGCGAATGGAAAGCACACACTGTTGACCACATTGAACTTGGAGTAGATGAAAAAGCTGGAGTAGTTTCGATATCAAAACTTGTCTGGCAACGTCCTGAGAGCTGTAGCCCCAGTGCGTGCCTGGGCCATCAGTTGCCCTCCGGCTGCTGGAAAGGACTACCCTTTTGTCGCAGGTGTCGAGCGGTTTTTGTTCCTTTAGGGAATCCTTTAGGAAGAACACCACCAAAACGCTGCTCGTTGTTACTTACCGGAGAGCATCAGCCTCGGAAAACATCTTCTCGTCCCGAGCCCCGGTCTTTCGCTGGGAATCCTCGCCGCAGGTGTCTCCACCTCCCCCCCGCAGCGCACGGCCCCCGCCGTCCCTCCTCACCCCCGTGTCTTCTCCGACACAGAGCAGCCGCCTGCCGGATCGCCGCCACAGGATGGGCTCAGGCGCTACCCCCGCCCCTTCTTTTTTCTTTCCTTTCCTTTCCTTTCCTTTCCGAGGCTCCGCTCGCCGTAGCATCCACCCTCCCGAGGGGTTTGCCTGGATCATTTATTTATCTTGTGCGCATTAAGAAACCACCATTAGGCTTTGGTGGGAGGCGCCTCACTTTCTGCGCGCTAGCCTGCCTCCCTTGCGCTGCGATAGGAATACACAATTGAACTGAAGCTGCAAGCTGGGCAGGAGCTGCCTTCTGCGTGCCTCTTTATTTGCCGGATCCGTATTTTTTTGCCGACTGGGTCATTGCCGCCCCCCTCCAGGGTTTCATCTTAATTTTTTTTTGCGTCCGTGTGTGTGGGTTTTTTTTTTTTTTTTTTTTTTTTCCCCGGGAACCCTCGCCGGAGTTTGGATGCCGGGCCGGACTTAGCGCGGGCGCGGAGGAGCTGCGCGGAGCCGTGCCTCCTGCCCCCGGGCCCCGCCCGCGG